ACGTGTTGACTATGACTCTTACTCGGTGAGTGGTTGAAGTTGGTTCGGGCGCCAAATAAGGTTGGCCGTTCAGTAGAAACCCCAGGATCACGTGCGCTACATGTGACCATGTCGCGTCGCACAAACCATGTGATCGTGTCCGAGGTGGCAGCGGCCAGCCTGCACAGGAGGTCCAACTCCGAATCTGTTCAAACGAGTTCAGAAGTCAAGATTGGGCATAATACGTGTGCATACTCCCTTGATTTACATACAACAAACATGCGGACATTTGACGTACTACCACAAGGGTAGTAGTGATCTGAGTACTTAACACTGAAATACGGGAGGCATGCATGTAGTACAATGAAAAGCATACGACGAATGCACATTTCAATGCTCCATATTGCTCAGCCTCAGGCATCCGGCTACTACTACGAACTATTGTCTTGGTTTACTCAAGTTGGTGTTTGTAAGGATTCTCATAATGTCACCCAAATGCTCCCTCTACTGCTTATACCATCTTCCATTACCCTTGACATGTTATTCAGACATTCCTTTATACTGCTTATTTCTTACAGCTTCAACATTGAGCATGGGGATGTATCCGACGATGTTCTCGCAGCAGGCACCGATCACTCTCGACTGGTCTTCTTGTGGCATTTGCGATCGTGCAAAGCCCCTTGTGAAACGTAGGGCTTTCTATCCTTCCTTCGTACTCATGCGAGGTCCCAGACATAAGTCTACTGCAGAACCGTCATGCATTCATGTTGGATTGTTACCAAGTACTTACCATGCAAAGAAGTTAGATTCTACAAAAAAGAGTTCAACGAAACACACGATTACTCCGATACGGGGAATCGAACCCCGAGCTACCGCGTACATGTTGAGGAATGAACCCCAGCACATGAAAGGCGGTAATGTTAGCCGTTACACCATATCGGATTGACAAGTAGGGTATGCAATATGCATAGATACAGGTCTTCTCACAGGATCATTGTGAAGTCTACTGACTTCTCAATATCCAACAATCCTCGGAGTCGCCTCGCATGTTCAAGCTGTCTTAACTCTCCTAATTCCTTCGGATGTCGTAGGCAATGTGGTTTATTACTCTCTGCTTGAATTGCACCAGAAAAAGTGCTTCGAGGTTATGCAATTGGTACTTATGGTGGCAGATGAGTCGCACATTTCGTTTGGCCAACTTGAACTTGAATATTGTATATTGCTACAGATATGTACTAAGACATGCAATTGCGACCTATAAACCAAAAACCCACTTTGAGAAAACAAATAAGTACATTCTACTCTCATGGTGACTTCTTCGATGCTCGATGCGAGGTCATTCTAACAATCTAGCAGCCAGAAGGGACGGTAGAATCGTCGACGTGGTTCTTGGCATTCACACCGAGACCACGGCTCGCAAAGGCCTTCCACAAGGTACACTTGTTGGCACCGCCATATCGGTTAGCGTCGGCCTGGATCCAAGCATCTCTCGCGGAGATGAAGGTGGGGTTGCATGGTTGGAGTTGGAGAGCGTCGAGGAAGAGGTGGAGGTAGACGACGTTTCCGGCGGTGCCCCTGGGTACAAATACATATGAGATGTAGTACACATCAACCAAGTCTCATTGAAAACTTACGAAGGATCTGTACGGGCGGTGGTAGAGAATCCGTGGGCGGCGACGAGAGCGGCGTAGACATTGTGAAGCGTGTTGGCCCAGACTTCACCGATATTGTGGACCTCGTTCAATTTAGCAACGGAGGAGTAGCGCAGCGGGTTGACAGTTGCGCTGGTCGAGTAGGGGTGGGTACGAATACCTGAGGGATCGTTGGTGACGTATTGGCCCATAACGTAGTCGCTGACAGTTGCACTGGTCTGCTCAGTCCATCTATGATATATACCCTTCGTCAGGACTTTAGTGCGTATGTGTAAGGGAGAAAGACGTACTCGGCAAAAGCGTCGGACCATCCCTCACCCATGCCACCGGCTTCAGTGGTCTGCAGGCAACGACCAGTTCCACCGCCGGTCAAACGGTTCGTGATACCATGAGTATTCTACAGCCAAACATTGAGCTAAGTGTTTAAAAGAGAGCATATTCGAGACTAACCTCATGCACGATGATGTCGTTCTCAAGGGCACCGTCGCGCTGGGGATTGGTGAGATCCCAAAGGAACATCCTCATATGTCCGCTCTGGCCATCGGGGGGAGTACTGAAATCGGCGTTATCGGTACCAGCACTGTCCTGAACAGAGACAGTAACACGATCATTGCCCTGTCCGCCTTTGCCAAAGTTGTTGTTTTGGAAGTTGAACGTGCTCTCGGTGAAGCCGTACTTGTAGGAAATGTCGTGGACCGTGTTGACAATGTAGAAGGCGTTGACGCGAGCTGCGTTCAAGTTGGCGGAGGTCGTGGGCGCTTGGCTAGGATTTTGGGTGTAGATGAACTGCCCGGAAGAGGATTGGGGGCTGGTATTCGAGGTGGTGCTCTTGTACGAGATCACGTTGTTCCCGCTGAACGCGAGAGTTAGTCCATTAATGTAAACGGAAAGTTCAAGACGCGTACGCAGTTGTGGTGGTGGTCGTAGTGCCGTCGCTGTGCCAGCCCTGAGGGGAGGCAGTCGTGTCCTGGGGATCAGTGAGGTTCTCGAAGCCCTGGGTCAATACCTCCTTCGTGATGGGGAGAACACGGTACTATCAAAATATGTTAGCGTCTATACGAAAGCATACTAGAATGATGGATACGCACAGTAGCCTTGGAGACAAAGTCGGTGACTGATACGAGCTCGCCAGAATGAGCGTCAACGAAGGCTTCGTACCAGGTGCCAGCTTCTTCGTTGCGGACCTGGAACACGTGAGCCAAGGCAGCGGAGCCGTCTTGCTTAACGACGTATTCCGTGGATGGCGCAGGGAAGTTCTCGGCATCGAACTTGCCCTGCAGAGCGTCCTCCGCGGTCTTGATCGCATCCTCAACCTTGACGGAGGGTTCAGCAGCGGCAACAGACGCTATTGAACGAGGCGTGTCAGTATGATAACTTTTTTCACATCAAATGTGATGTCAACTCACATGGCTTCACGAACGAGTTGCCAAATGCAACAACGCGGTTGTCTTTGTTGAAAGCGACATTGGCAACCGCGTTTGCGACGGGGATACCGTTCAGCTTCTGCTGAAGGTAGGCATGTCGGGCCTTTTGGCCTTCGGAGGTGCTGCGAACCTGGACGTCGTCAGCACCGACCTTGGATTGAACGAAGGCGATAGCGGCGTCTCCGACATCGACATCAGCACGCTTTGACAAGGGATGGTCAATACCCTCGCCAAAGGTCTATTAGATTTAAAAGATGGTTAGTTCAATCGCGAGGTGCTCGTTTTCGATGAACATACCTGATAAGTGGACTCGGGATGGAAAGTCTCAATCTTGAGATCCCGGCCGACGATGCGAGTACGGTGGGTAGCGTACTTCGCGTTGGGAGCAAAGGGGACGGCGTTGGTGGCAGTCGCGTACATGACAGCGAGGAAGACGGAGGTGAAGAACTTGTTGAAGGAAACCATCTTTGCTATGAGCAGGGTGTAAGCGAAGTGCCGGTGGGATGAGACTGTGACTAGCTAAAGTCTGCCGAGTTGTCGAAGACGAGGAGAGGTCGCCTGGAGAATTGTTGGTCTTTCGACCTATGTTTTATACTGAGGCGGTAGTGTGCTCGACGTTTGGCCAAGAATTTTGGCCCGCATGGCTGCATTGCCTAACCATGTACTGTGATGTGCAATAGGAAAACCAGTCTGTTGTAATGGGGGGTTCGATAAGTGAGTACCACAGGGTAACGCGTGAGGGCACCGTGGTCAGGGCACTATGTAGCAGATGGCTTCTATCAGCTCGCACGGCGTAGTCGGAGCAGATGTCGGGAATGTTGGGTGTCGAAGAAGCTCAGAGAATTTCTAATGGTGAGGATTAACCGAAGAAGAATCATCTCAATGACCAGCATGAGCGAAGACATCACATGGAATAGCGTATTCCGGCGGTAACGCAGCCGTGTGCTTCGACAATGAGAAGCCACATACACCGTGATCGCAAGGTTGGAAGATAAGAAAACAGAGTCGCGATAGATTCTGGCCTTCTATACCTCGTGATACAACCATCCTGCGATGCAGAACCTCAGTCTTTGAAGTCCCATGCTGTCAGCACAGAAGACCACTCACCGGTGCAACTTGAACATCATGATGCTGTCATTTCTCTGCATTTGCTCGTATGGTGCGTCAACATTGCAATGCATACGCTCTATTTGATCTGTGTTGTTGAGGTGAGCCCCCCATATGGAGTTATGGTTACCATGCGGATGTAATCGTGACTTCTTGCACGTTGCCACGCTGGAGAAACTCCTCGGATGCTGAAGCCATGGTGGCATATTGAGGAAGCCTCTTAGACATGTAAGCCGCGTAATTTACGAATAAATTTCCACCCTGATGCAAGTTGAGGACGTGTATGAGAGATGGCCTGAGATGGCTGGAAAGGCAGCAGGAGGAAGTTGGAACCGCGGTTCGGAGTTCCCATCATCTGAATACTACCCTTGCCATTTATGGACAAACCGGCTGATCTGCCGGCGGTCCGCATTCTTCCGTCACCTTCATGGCATGCTCCGCGTCCTTACGGACCACAATACAAGGCCCTTCTAGTCTTCTTGTTGCCTTCTTGCTTCTGAATCTGCGAAGTTAAACCATGAATTGCTTCTCTTCGTCCTTGGAATTATACATAAATAATGATTGGCAAAAAGCTTGCAGGATATCCTCTGTACGAAATCAAATTCTAAGTAACATTCCAACCATACCGTTCGCTAACTGTTACTAATTCCTTGTTGCACATGAACTCGCGAATGTAAGGTCTGCGGAGGAAAGTGTCTTGTAAGTCGTCTCGTGCTCTACTGATCAAAATATATACCAGAGTCTAGAGATGCCTCGGGAAGCAATGATGTTCCCTCTACTCGTTGTCCCATTCGCAGCATATGGTAACGACGCCGTAGGCCTCGGGCTTGGGTCACGAGTAGTAATCCGAACTACATTCTCTCTCAATGCCCAAAGGTCTTATCTCCCACCAACGCACGTACTTCAAGGAACGGGCTGTACGCGCATGTCCGCGTGAATGACTGCTACAGGGAAGCAGCCTGGAGACGGCGGAACAATCGTTGATGTTTCTCACACCGCGCAATGCTGAAAATTCGTAATCATTTGTGGGTAATGCGCGTGCAAGCAACACGGCAAGAGACGCAGGCATGTGGAGTCCCGCAACGCGACGGAACGAATGGTTCCAATTGATTCAGCTAATGAAGCGTTAGAAGGCATTCCGAGTCTGTGGATGGTTGTGAGTCATTGCCGTTCAGTTCCTGCTACCGGGCTTCACTTTTCTTCAGGCTGTACGACTATGAGTAAGTTACTTCGTGGACGTTACCGCCCCGCGGCTGATACATGCACCTCTTCCCCAGGACCACATGTTCGTAGAAGCCATTCCTGGTATTATAGACCGGCATACGACTAACACCGGGTATGCCATCTTTGCCAATGGAGAACAGCAATCAGCCATCACACTCACAAGTTTTAGCCGTTGTGTACCCGCCTCGACCAGCTGCAAGGGTTCGCGAAAGTGGTCTACGACGAGTCGTATGTTTCATAATTGACTTTTCAACCAACGGCTTACATGTCACAGGAGTGTCACAACGCGCGGACCAAGTTTCGGGTAATGCACGTTAGCCTTGAGCGGCGCACTTCGCACTATCAATATCCTGCCCCCTTCGCATAGCTCGTGCTTGCACGAGCAATACAAAATCCCATCTTCACCGTGCCAAACATGGCTGGTCCTAACGTGTCGGCCCACAACCAAATAGACTTTGAAAATGCGCGTCGGCGATGCAACGTCGACTCATCGTGTGCGTTTGCAACAAGAGATCCTAGGGCTTTGCAGTAGCGT